CGTCGCCGTCGCCGTCGTGGTCGCTAGGATGCGGTGGATGGTGCATATAACCCTGGATGGATATACAGGAGCAGCAGAACGGCGCCCCCGCCGCGATGCCCGCCCGCTGCACACTGGAACAACCCTGTTCCGTTCCGTTCCTCTCTCTCTCCACTTTCCACTCCCTTCTCTCTTCGCCACCATCACCACCACCACCACTCTTCGCCCCTCCGCTGTCTCGCTCTCATTTTCGCCATCCCTTCGACCGACTCTCTTTCCCTCTCGTTTCTCCCTTTCCATTCTCGTCTCTCTGTATCTGCTCGCATCAGCTTCTTCCATCTCCTTCGTCGACATTGGGCGTCTTTCGTCCTCCTCTTCTTTATCTTTCGCTCCCTCCCTCTTCCTCCCTCGCTTTTCGCCCTCCGTATCTCTTTTTCCATTCAACGGAACCACATCGGATCGACTCTTCCCTTTCCTTCTCTATACCCCACCCTTTCCGAGTCTCTTTTCCACCGATGCCGCGTAGCGCGTCCCTCTTCTTTCTCGACGACGCTACTCCTCCTCCTCCTCCTCTTCCTCCTTCTCTCTTCCACCTTCCCACCTTCCCTCTTCCTCCACTCCTTCCGTCTCTTTCTCTTCCACCCCGATACTCCCTCCCCTCCCCTCTCCTCCCTCTTTCCAATGGTAGCAGAAGAGTCACCCTCCGACATTTGCCGTTTCACTCACCGCCACCCGTGCACCCTACTTTCCTCTTCGTTTCTCTCGAAATTTCTCCCCATCCACGACACCTGCTCGTGGTGGTGGTGGCTCGTAGAGGTGGGAGCCTGCGCACGTGTAAGCTCTAGTAACGTACGTGTACGTTGGTCGGTCGAGTGTGTAAGTGTGCGCGAGCGCAACCCTCGCTGAACCTCCCGCTCGATATCGAAGAGTCGACTCTACGACTCTACGCTACGAATCCACGTATACCGGGTGTCGCCACGATCATCCTTCTCAACGCGTCAACGTGTTTTTCTTTCGCGTCGTTCGCTTCACGAGCCACGGGATTCTGCCAATCGCGGCATCTCATTCTTCCTTTATTAAAATTAAGAGATTCTTACGAATTACGAGTAGGTTGACGAACTCTTTCGCTATATCGGCTCTTTCGTAGCCTCTCGACTCAGAGATCCAAAGCCATCTCTTGAAATTTTCGACGCGTTAACGCATTTGGAGAATACTTTCATGTAATTCGATGATCGTAGATCGAATTCGAAAGAAAATTCGAAATATCATCGAAATATACGAAACTTGTATATTTTTTTAAAACGGGACAGCGTTCAATCCTCATCTTCCAACGACAGCGTCGCAACGAGACGAGCAAAACGATGCTCTAATGTCGAAAGTTTGGACAATGCCTCGAGTATCTCGTGTCTCTCGAGCGATTCAACTTTTTAAGCTATACTTAAGGACGAAAGAAATTCGAGACTTGTTCTCTCTTTGAAAACTCTAGAACACTCTAGTTCATCGATGTTTAATAGAAAAGATGATATCTCGATATTTGCGTGCGGTTACTCTAAATTTCAGGCGGCGTGCAACGTTTGTTCGAGCGATAAGTAATGTCTATCGTTAAACAATTGCTAATTCTCGTAAACTTAATATATCCAATTCAACGTTTCTCACGACAAGAATAACGAGTTTAGCGTAAAAGTTTGTTATCGGAGAAACGGTTAGAAACGGAATAATATTTCCTCGTCAGCCTTGTCACAACGAAATCATGCCGTTCCTCTCTCCTTAACCTTCTACATTTAAGATTCTCCGTTTCGTCGAGAGAGAGAGAGAGAGAGAGAGATGATCACGCATGATCGGAACACAAAACAATCTTAAGAACGTATCGCTCGAAAGATCGAAGAACGATACAACACTCAACAACGGCTTAATTTTATCGTTACGTTCGTAGGATTCTTTAGACACTCGCTTAGACTCTTGACCTTTTTCTTCGCTTCTTTCGCTGCGAAACAGAATCGTGGAAAATTGCGACGGTACACGCAGACCCACTGTGTTCGGTTGTACAAAGTTTGTCTCGAGGCTGGCGTAACTGTGCACCATTGTGATGCGCAAACTGTCTGCTTGCTCTTTCTCTGCATCCATCAAAACTTCGCCTGTCCGGTATTTCTTCTTAAAAGCCGGTTCGTTACGTTCCAGAGGTCGTTACAGTTATTAGCGGGTGAGGAATGCCGGAACCGGAGACTTTCCAGCTTTTGCCTCGTTTCATCTTTCCGCGGTTTTCGCTTTTGCTATCAACCGACACGTGAGGGAAAATTCTCGTAAAAAAAAAAAAAGAAAAGAAAAAAGAAAGAAGAAAAAAGAAAAAAAAGAAAAACAGCGACTTGATTTTTAAACTCGCAAAAGATGATATGCTTCTTATGCTTGCCTCGTGGCTTTCGAATTTTAATTATAATTTATATTATATTTCGCTTTCCTTCTCCCTCTTTCAAACATCCGTCGAAACACGCTTGATTTATAGTTATTTTCCGCATTGATCTCTTGTCCTTGTCCTTCGTGGACTCGACCCGCCATAAAAAAACGTTTTCCTTTTAAGAAATTCTTGAATCTCACAAATGCGTCTCGAATCTCGATGCTTTCAATCGGTTTACGATAATTTTATAATTCGAGTTCCGTAACGTATTTCACGGGAATGAATCGTGTTCCGGCTTACGTCGCGAAATACGATCAAGAGTCATTAATAATATTAATAGTTAAAGAAGGGATGAATCGTTTAGAGTGGGATTAAAAGTGGCCGCAATTTCGCCCCTAGCTTTGGAAATGATGGGACGGAAGAGGAAGAACTAGAGAGAGCAATTACCCGGCCAAGGGAAAAAATGTATCCTCAATTTTCCAGTTCAACGAAGTAAATGTTTGAAACGAAGCCACCGATTCTATCGAGCCGGACATCTACTTATACGGAAATGTACATCGAGTCTGATATTATAGCATCGATTCGAGACCGACTTAGAGCCGCTCTTCTCCCGCTAAGCCATGCGCGATTGCGTTAAGGTAATGCGAATTTTCGTTATTCGCTGCTACGACGTTATCGATATCGTCGAATATCGATACGCCGTAAAGTATCTTTACTCGAAATTCATTTACAACACACGAAATTTTAATTTTAATGCACGATTAATCCGAATTAGTGTCGAGCGTTAACTCCATTTGTACGAACGTTTGTTATTACAATGAATCGTAAAAACACGAATTCCCAATCTATATATCCTCGATACAAAATTCTTTTTAAATTCGTAACTTGTTCGAAAGGAAGAAAATTTTTTAAATATAATACACGTAAGATGCATCAAACATCCTTATCCTTATATAGTAAATAGTAACGAACGGATATATTATAATCAAGTCTGGCGTCATTCTGGCGATGATATAAATTACTAACCATAGCTAATCATCGAAATTAGAAAAATAATGCAATAATGCAAAATAACGACGTTGATTCGAGTAACATAGAATCATTGATATCAATGAGTGAAACGTCAGCCACAATGCTACGTCTATCATTTTTTTACTCTTCGTTGCTTTAGTTGCTTTATTCGAACTTTCCATTTAAAAGTTCCGACATTTTTTCTTTTATTTATAGGCAAAGACCGATGTCTTTCTTTGTATTCAACTTACGAGCACGACGAGTCGGCTGGTTTTAACGTTTCACTAGGTCTATCCTTTGTCAAATTCCTAAGTTGAAATTCCGCGATAACGTGGTTCCTCAGGTCCGATGTTGCGTCACGAAAATAACCGATAGACTTTTCGTCTAATTTGTCGTCGAATAATTGAACTCGATCGGAGATAAGAACGGCTACGTAGATCAAAGATACGAGAATGGAAAAAATGATTAAAGTCCGCTGGTCCACGATCGAGCCAATTAAGGGGAAACAGGTCGGATTTACTCTGAATGAAAGAGGACACTCGTGTACAAGTTGTACACGGAGTGTGTACAAAGGGTCAGCTGGTATCCACAGATCAGTTATATAGGGCACACCATCCTCGAAAGTTTCGACGTCTCTCCGGTCGAAAGGTGGAACCAGCCCCATTATCGAACGTCCTGCTACGAGCAGCACTGTCGCCGCCGATTCATCCCCACGCCGTGGGCAAGGTGGTCCTCTTCCAACGAGTTTCCAAACGCCTTCTCCCGACCAACCGCAAAATCCCGAGAAATAATAATCGGAAAAATTCTCGTGTTCCTCGAATTTTTGCGACATCGACGCCACGTCGAGTCCCCTTGCTCGGCGAGATGAGGGCGATCAGTCATCCTTGATTACGTAATGCCGCGTCCTGGAAAAGCCGGGAGCCCCTCGTGCGACCGATAACAAACGCTGACCTAAATACGTTCCCGCCAAACCACCGTAAATCGTGCCTCCGCGATCTAAGGTACCACCCGACTTTCTTCCACCCATCCCTCCTCTTCTTAACATTTTTCACCCATTCGTTCTCCTCTCTTTTTTATCTTCCTACATCACCCTACATCCTAACTCGGTCCATCCTCCTCGCCGTTTCTCCATCCTCCTTCCTCATTCCACCCTTTCCATCTAACGTTTACTTCTCCTCTCTCCGCTTCCGAAACGAAACGAAACGAAACGAAACGATCCCTTTTGTTCTTGGTGGAAGGAAGAGGAGTAGGAGGAGGAGGCGGGGTAGAGAAGAAGAAGAAGAAGAAAAGAAAAAAGAAAGAAAGGCGGAGGGAGGGCGGGGAGGAGAGAGAGAAAAAAGGAGATCGTATTGGCCTTGCGCGAGTATACGCGCGATTAGTCGAATTTTCCAGTTCCAGATACGCCGTTCCAGGCACACTGCGCTGGCTC